TTATGCTATGGAAAGCTTATGGTGTTATCAGCTATGGCAATGTTTCAGACCACCCTGAGGCTCTGGTGATTTTGGAAAGTAATGAACCCCCTCTAATTTCCTTTGGCCCCCAAACATTTCCCATGACAAAAGGAATTCCATGAGAACCTCAGGAATGTTGGTGGAGCCGACTGGAAATTTCTGAAAAATCACTACAGATGTTGGCATCAGGCTTATATGCCGTAGGTGTGCAAACAGGATTTCAGCCAGTGTGCCCAGTAAAAAGGACGAAGTAACAAGGTAAGAAAGTCCTCCCTCCATGTGAGATTCTGGACAGCCAGCCGATTGCTATTCCTGGAGCGAACTTGGTCTAAGACTATTTTTTATGTTCTCTCTCTCAGATCGCTATGCTATTTGAACCCTGGGACTTTAACACATCAGGTAATAAAGCAGGCACAGCTCCTCCTGTTTATCCCGTCCTGGTATAGTTTCCCATCTCTTCCACCTTCTGTAGGTAACTTCCAGCTCCTAACAACCCCCCCCCTCTCTTTTTAAATTCTGCACCTAAAAACCCTTCTTTTTATATATGTTAATCAGAAGATGAGCCCCTGCAGTCTAGCTGAAACCAAAATGTGACTTCACAACTTTGCTCGGTCTATAGAAATACAAAGGTTCTCCCCTTTGCAGAAAAGGAAGGCATACTGACGTCTATATGTTGGTATTAGCAGCACTGTTCTGCAGGCACAGAAAAGGCCGAATATGATACAACCAAAGGTGATTTATTACTTCCACCTTGGCTCCCTGCTCTGCATGCCTTTCTCGGTACAATCAAGTGTTACCTAGTAAATATTTAAAGTTTCCATGTTAGTGGGCCAAGATTCTTTCAGTCTCCGTACAAAGCATCTCATGTGACCACAAGGGAAAGAGGCTGTTCATTCACACTGCTCATGTCGTTTGCTCGTTGACTACTTTCATAAAAAGTGCAAATTCATACCAATTAACCTGTGCACTATATAAACTACATGTGGGGTAATGGGCAGAGCGCTCAGCTTTGGGTGGGTTCAAAGCTCCATCCATCCATGAAATTCCCTAGGTGGCCAGAAGCAACTTAACTCTCTTTGTATTTAATTCAGTTTTTATTGTAATGATAGGACAGGACAACCTATGTACAGAGTCCTGAGTCCACTGGAGAAAAGATGTAATAAATACATTTATTGATTCATTTTTCAACATTTGTATGTGGTCAAACATAATTAAGACGGAATGCAGATATATTTGTGATTTAATTATGCTAATATCCTAATAAATCATAATAATCATGTGCCGTCAAATCAGTTCTGTCTTTTTCAGGGTTTTCCAAGTAGAGAATACCCAGAAGTAGTTTAACATTTCCTTCTTCTTGGGGTACCCTGGGGCTGTGCAGATTGCCCAAGGCTACATAGGCTGGCTTAACTCACAGGAAGCGCAGTGGAGAATTGAACTCTCAATCTCTTATTGAGCTATCCAACCAACCCAACTCATCCTAGTGACCTGAAAATAACTCAAACCAGATGCAGTGGGACTTTCCAATAACAGTGTACAGGTTTGAGATCTGAAGTACCCACTCCTCAAATGCCTTCTAATCACTCAGCCGATCCTGGAAAACAACATGGCTGGGTTGGAATGCTCCATACTAGAACATCTGTTACAGTGTATGTATGTATGTATGTATGTATGTATGTATGTATGTATGTATGTATGTATGTATGTATGTATGTATGTATGTATGTATGTATTGGTTCTTCTTGAATGTAGGTACAGGTATAAAAAATCTAAGGTAACATTTTGCTACAGCCCACTGATCATAATCATCCCTTCTGCCATCCCTCACTAGAGAAACTGTGGATACATATTTAACAAAAATTGCTGGAAATGCTCAGATTTTAGGTATTATGATTATGTAATTAATTTAGGTGCCAAACATCTATTAGCAACGGGGCAGGGGACATGTGCTAATTGGTAGTGACAGGTGATAAAGCAGCTAATGTGCTATGATCAAAGCAACTGAATTACAGGATTTGTAGCCCCTTGTGCCTTCAATGTCATTAGCCTGCTGTTATCAAGTTGCGAGGTGGCTGGTGATGGCACAGAAATTGTCATGCAAATGCTACTAACTATCAATCCCTGTCAAAATAAGTCCCACCCAGAGAACTGGCGTTTATATGGGGCACATTTATCGGTTCTTTCTTTCTGGGTACAATGCAGTGTAGCACAAGGCAGGTTAAGTATACTCCATTGGCTTAGATTTGTCACCCTACTACAGTGTTGAAGGTGATGAAACTGGGAAGCGGGACTACAGTTGTTCTTCAGCTTGTACAGTAAACATTGTTACTGTTATGTTCTGTTGTATTGCTTACGACTTAAGACGACTCTGACATGTTTTTCAAGGCATATGAGGTTTCAATGAATGGTTTTACCTTGCTGCCACTTAGTGAGTTTCCAGTGCTGAAGGGGGCTTGAATTCAGGTCTCCTGAGTCCTCTCACGCTTCATTCACTACACCACACTTTCCACAGCAAGTATACCCATACATTAATATCTAAATACAGTGGTGCCTCGCTTAACGACGATAATCCATTCCAGGAAAATCGCTGTTAAGCGAAAACATCATAAAGTGAAATTAAATTAAAGTAAATTGAAACGCATTGAAAACCATTCAATGCATTCCAATGGGCTAAAAACTCACAGTCCAGAGAAGATCCTCCATACGGCGGCCATTTTTGGTGCCTGTATGGCGAGGAATCCGTCCCTAAGCACAGTGGGGAGCCATTTTAAGCACCCGGCGGCCATTTTGAAAGCCTGACGATCAGCTGTTGATTGTCGTAAAGCGAAAATCAGTTCCCGAAGCAGGGAACCGATCATCGCTAAGCGAAATCCCCCCATTGAGACCATCATTTTGCGATTGAAATTGCAACCGCAAAAACATCGTTGTAAAGCGGATTTGTTGTAATGCAGGGCAATTGTTAAGCAGGGGACGACTGTATCCCAAGGTGCAGTGGTTAAACTGCAGTACTGCAATCAAGATTGTGCTCACAACCTGAGCTCAATCCCGACAGGCTTAGGCAACTGGCTCGAGGTGCAATCAGCCTTCCTTCCATCCAAGGTTGTTAAATTGAGTATTCATCTTGTTGGTGGGCAGGGCAATCTATAGGCTACATAAGATAGATAAAACTTTATTACGGTCAAAGACCAGCCACTAGGCTACATAATGAAACTGTAAATCACCCAGAGAGTGGTTCAAGTGCACATAAAAAAAGAGCAAAGTATACTTTGCTTCTTCTTTTTTTTTGTTTTTGCTTTTTAATAGGGCTATTGTGCCATGAAAAATTAGAACAAGGTGATACAAAAGGCATAGGCAGTAATATCTGATCAGTTGGCCACATAATTTTCTGTCATTTTATTAAATAGCTTAACCATGCAGGCATCAGAACAGGCAAATCCTATTGAGTTCAATGTGTTATTAGCAGGTGCATCTGCAACCTACTGACAACTTCCATAAAGGCGACTGAGATACCTTTCCCATATAGCAGCATTAAGCAGCAGAATATGGTTAAGTACACTCTACTACCAGCTGCTTGCCTTGCACTCCGAATACCAATAAAATATCCAGAATCTATAGGGCACAACAGAGAGAAAAACAGCCAATACGATTTCTCTCTTTTTGTCCTTCTAAGTAACTGCTGGTTTCAGCTGGCTATTCTAAAGTTTTACTTCATTTCCAGTTCTTCTCCAAAAAGGTTATTTTTTCTTCCTTTGTCTTAGAAAGAAGCAGTCACGTGTCTACTCTACAATGTCTAAAAGCACACAACCACGTTCACAGAAGACAACTCTATGGCCTTTCGTTAGCCAAGGGCACGATCTGGAAGCAAAAAATAGCGTGCATCTGATTGCACCGGAAAGGTTCACTCTAACTGGAATGACCCTTCCGTCCATCAAGCAATCATTCCAGCCTGACCCAAAAAAGTAGCAGTTCAGCTTGGGCATGTTTTTCGGTCAGGCTGGAGTGCTATTCCTTATACGTTGTGTGATCACCCAGAAATAGCTTGCACCAGGTTGTACCACAAGTGGTCCAAAATGTGAGCTATATATCTGTTTGATCACACCCTTAGTTAGATTGGTTCTAAATTAGTTCCAATTAATTCCTGGATGTATTTGCAAAAGCAATGAAATGTCAGCTCATTTTCACACTACAAGCTGCCAGAGAATTTATTTTCTTTCCAAAGGCACAAATTCAGAACCAAACCACTGTACTAAGCTATTAAAAATACTCAGTTTAGGAATATTTTCCTATACCTCATCTCCTATCTCACATCTGTCTGTGTTACATTTCTACTCTTTCAGGCAGGATAGAAGATATTGCCAAAATACCAGATGAAATTTTTCTTTAACCTATCTTCTCCTCAAAATAAATTCCACAGGGAATTTGCCCAGTTCCCTCCCTAGTCTTACCGTGTGGAATTTTTCAAGGCAGCTGGAGCAGGCAAAAAAGATTTCAGTCAATCTGAGCTTGTAAAGACAAACAGATCTATATTTTTGGGGGAAAAAGGGGTTGCTAAGGTGTTTTTTGCTTCTGTGCAATGCAACTGATTTCCCCCCATATGGGATTTGGAAACAAACAACATGCCGGAGGGAGAAATAATCCAGGTCTGGTTTCTTGTGTCTCTATTCCATCCTTTGCGAATACTCAGTAGTCCATGACCGCTGAGCATGGTCAATATTTATTGGGTTGTTCTGGGGGAAAGGGTGACCCCACACCAACTTTCTCTCTGTCTCTGATTGGTTTGACATTTTCCTTTCCTTGGAACATGAATGATGTGTTTTTATACAGGTTAGGACTGACATCCTTCTCTGATGTTAGAAAGGAGGCAATGTTAATAAACACTCTTCTCTCCCACTGAGGTTGAAAGATGAATGGAGGTGGTATATTTGTTTCAAATGAAGAACTAGAAAAATAGCCTGATTTTTTTTCTCTGTGTGACATACCTGACCGATAGCGCTCATCACGTGATCCTGAGGACCTGCGGCGGTGGTAGCGAGAGGAGGAGGAAGGCGTGACGGGCGTTCTGCGTTCTTGAGGCAGTGCTTGATCTACTCCTGTATAGGTAGGGAAGAAGAGGGGGGAAAGATCAGAACAGAAAAATTATACAATAATTGGAATTAGGTCACAATATAAATGCACTTTTTCTTCTCTTGCTTAAATAGGCAAAATCCTGTTGCACAAAGTTACACCAGCATAAACCAGATCTAGCACCAGAAAGAATTAATGTATATTAATTGAAAGCTTTCTATCCCCTCCTCTTTTAGGTTCCCTAAGCTCCCCAGAACTCCCTGGGGAAGCCCTTGGGAGCCTCACAATGGGTGGAGCCTTTAAAAGTCAAAAATTTCCACTGGATCACTTCCACTCTGATTGGGACCACATTAGCAGGGCCTTCTATAAACAAGAAGTGGGCAGAGAAAAGGTCTAGAAAGGTCAGAACAGGAGAACAGCAGCATGAAATGCAATGCTCCAGGAGCCCCAATTTCATACCTATGGCACAAGTCATAATGGCCCACAAAGATCATGGGTTGCCAGTTATCTTGGACAAGCTGCAAGTCAGAAGCGGGAAACTGACCTTTGTAAATTCTTAGTGGCAAGCTGGATAACAAGTCAAAGAAATCCAGACACCTCACAAAAGTTAGCTACAAAACGCACGAGAGAGACCAGACATCTGTATTGATTTTGCACATGAAATCAAAATCTGCCCACTGAGCTTTCTGAAGTTGTTTTCCTTGCTCTTTAGCTCAAGGAACCCATCTGCTATGTCCAGATGTTTCTCTGTCTAATTCTTCAGTGTAAGGTTGGATCCCTAGGAACATGAACTGCTCAGTGGCTTAGGTCTCTGGCTGCATAGCCAAAGGTTGGTAGTTCAGTTCCCCACTGTGCCTCCTTCTGAGGCGCTGGACACAATGATCCATAGGATCCCTTTCCAGATCTGCAGTTCAAAGGTTATAAGTGAAGAAGAAGAGTAGGATCATTGATGATGCATGAATTATATTTCACACACTGCGGCATTTCCAAAGGAAAGAGTGTTCAAGGACAAAAACTGCACAAAGAAAGGTTAGGAAAGAAGCGAACAGCCCTGGAATGAATTATGTGCTGTGTGCTGCTCTACCAAAGGATTAAAAATAAAACAAGCTAATTGAAATAATTAGTTTAGTTTCTCTTCTTGCAGAGCATCATGTTGTGCTAGAAGCAGGCAACCACTCTATTTTAGGTTTACAAACTAGATACAATGGTTATTAAAATGTGGATCATCAAACTCTCTTGACTTTTCACACCTGAAAAAAGGGACTCTTCTCATATCCTACATTAAAAATTATGAAGTGTGCCTCTCAACACTGATTTTGTACTGCTGGCACTTCACTACCTGCAGTATGATGCTTTATTTTGTTATGCAATCACCTGATCTGATTTATAAGCACAAAGGTGCTTGCTTGTTCGTTAAGTATATAATGGGAGGGGGCATTTTCTCTTGTAATGAAAGGCAGGTGGACGGTCAACTAAGGTGGACTGATAAATTTTAAGTTGTCATCTGGCGGACTAACAGCCACAGTGCATCAAAAGCCAGGAAAACTAGTGATCAAAGATGTGCCCCTATTTTCACTTGTGAAATTTTGGGAGGACATACATATGAGGAATACGAATAAAACTGACAATTAATGTTTCTCCTTTAAACAAATAATCTTATAATAACTGTGACCACTAAATCACTCTCTTTTCTAATTTTAATTTCTTCAAGTGTCCACAGAATGGATTTTCTTCTCTTTCCTGGGAGTTTTTACTTGTAATGATCATTTTTTAAAAAACAACAATAACCCATTTCCATGTTATAAACTCCTAAATGGGCCATGTCTAATTCAATCTGCTGCCTTTATTAAAGGTCAAAGTAGGACAAAGAGTTTGCAAAGAGTTTTCTACATTTTCTTCCCCCATTTACTGGTGAGACAGAGACAATGGAATCAGAAGATGAACGCTGTTAGGTACTTAAAAGGGACAAATGCAGGCATTGTTGTAAGGAGAGGGAAAAAGTCTGGCAGAATGTTAAAAATCCAAGAACCAAATGGAGTATTACTATCACCAACAAGGTGTCATTAACAAAAGTGCTGAGCACCTGCTTGGCATGCAATTTCTGTACTTACTGGAGACATTATTTCTTTTCTTTTGTTAAATATGGTCTATTTTATTTAACAAGGCCAAGGAATGGAGGAACTTATAAAGAGAGATGGTAGCACAGGGATGCCTTCAACCTAGTATGATCTGTGCACACAAGATCGGCATGTTAGATTACACTTAACATCAATGGAGGTGAAGCCTATTAAGTGCTGTAGAGGAAGGTGGGTTTCTGTTTCCATGCTCATGTCCTACATGCAGGTTCCACAGTAGCACAGCAACATCCACAAATTCGATTCTTTTCTGCTCTCCATGGAAGCCTCCATGATGGTAAGAGTAAACTAGGAAGGAGTGAGACAGTACCTCTGAATTTCTTTTCAATGAAATTACGATGGCGTGCTTGCTTTATAGAAGAAATATGAACTATTAATCTTCACATCAACACGTATTCTTTACACAGTGCCTTGTCTGTAGTGATCAGAGTGTTAGAACAAGACCTGGGAGATCCATGTTCAAGCTATCACTAGGTTGTGAAACTCACACCATCTTTTTCTCTCTATGATCTACCTCACAGGGCGGTTATGAGGATAGCATGGAGGAGGAAGCTGGAAAAAACTGTTTGCATATCTTTAAAAGAGAGCTTGATACTATAAATAATTCTCTTTGCAAAAAAAAAATTGACAATATATCTTTACCCACTGAGTTAAAAACTGTTAAGATTTAAGATAAAAAGCTTCACGTGGCTGTGGTCTTCTGGTGCAAAAGGAAGAAACAGCCAACAGGTTTCTTGGCTGTGCAAAAGGATGCATTCAGATGAGAACAAAATGATGTCAGATAGAAAGCAATGGGAGGCTTGAGAGAGAGAGAGAGAATATATCAGGGCTGCATTTTGCTGAAGGCTGTTTCTTGTTCACCTTGTTTTCTTCATATAAGTGGACAATTCCACTCAGTGAAAAGGCATGATACTTAGATTTCTCCACACTTCTCTCAATATCTTAATTCCTCTTTTTCTATTAACTATCTTTTTCAGTCTTCAGGAGGTGCCTCCTTATTTTGTTCTGCTTGAACAGAAACCGGTATGCTCCTTTTCTCATTTAACTGACTTCTAAAATAATCTCAGCCTGCATTACTGATACCAACCCCAATCAAATGGGAGCGCCATTAAAAACTTTGTACAGAGCGAATCTAGATTAAAATCAAGCCTGGAGCCACCACTTAAAGCAGGTCAAGCTAGGAATCTTCACCCTTCCATCTCAGCATGAATTTTGCTGGTAGATTTCCAAGCAAATGTTATGTACTCAGAGACACTTCCTTCTGTTCTCATTTGATTTTTGTCAGTGTTTTCTGCACAGTTTTTGCGCACTGGGGGACACAAGTTCCTAATGGATTTAATTGAAGTGGAGCACCGTGAGCATGACAAGTTTTAATCGTATTCATCACATGAAAAAGGAGCGGTATCACCATTGGGCCTGAATGGGGAGACGTCTATATGGTGCTCATATATAGCATTTTATGCTATTGTACAGAAATGGGGGCTCTTTCACCCCCTAATGCTCCCCACTCTTACCTCTGAGGATCATGCCAGTCCCTGCCAGAAAAAAAAATAGGAACAGACCAAAGGTCTATTCTAGTTTCTGGTGAACATGCTGTTTTGCTGAAACATGTAAGGAAGCTGCACCTTGTTTTAAAGGAGAATACACCTCCATGGACACTTTTAGAGGCACAGTTGGGCAATGGGCGGGGGGTCCTAGGTGCCACATGTGCCCTCTTACTTGAATTTTCCACTTCTGTTATAGCACAGAAACATCAGCACCTTCGTCCCAAACTATCATGGAATAAGACGGAAGAGTGAGTTATTAAATATAAACCTCCTTTATATTCTCCTGCCATGGAAAGCAACCACAGTTCATTAGTAGAGCACAGTTAATTATTTAATTAAATCTTGACCCTGCCTTTCTCCCCTACTGAGGACCCAAGGTGGTGTACAAAAATATTTAAAATTCAGAATTAATTAAAAACAAACTAATTAAAAACGTATTTGCATTCGCTGCCGTTTGGACTTGTCCCTTCTATAGGATTTAGCTTATTGATTAAAAGAATCTTTTTCTCTTCTGTTAATTTAGCTCTTCTTTTCTTATTCTTAAATACAATTTAAAATTGTCCATGCTGTGGTGTTTTTCACTAGGCGACTAAGAAAAGCTTAGATATGAATTCAGTACCTAGTCACCTGGATTCATTAATGCTGATTTTCCAAGAATTACTGCACCTTACAGTTACACTTTGGTTTTCCTTGCAGGCCTGGTGTTCGCCCTAGAGAGTCGCTGGATTTCTTGTCCAGATAGCAACTGATAGTTGACTTGGACTTCCAGCAATCAGCTGGAGTTGGCTGGTTGCCTGAGTGTCTTTGGAAGGACTCTGTGTGAGCTGATGGGCGTGAGTAAGGGGGACTGCCTGTGGCAGCTACTACCTTGTTAAGCGGAAATCATCATATTACAAACATCCAAAGTTCCAGTAGCAAACTACAAGAAGCACTAAGCCAAAGTCTATGGGAATCACTGCTGATCAAAGCAAACAATAATGGGCTACACGAATATGCAGTCTAATTAATGAAGTGGCTTCCTGGCATTGCATTAACTATAAGGGTAAAGGTAAAGGTTCCCCTTGACAATTTTTGTCCAGTCGTGTTCGACTCTAGTGGGGCGGTGCTCATCCCCGTTTCCAAGCCATAGAGCCAGCGTCTGTCCGAAGACAATCTTCCGTGGTCACATGGCCAGTGCGACTTAGACACGGAACGCTGTTGCCTTCCCACCGAAGTGGTCCCTATTTATCTACTTGCATTTCCATGCTTTCGAACCGCTAGGTTGGAGGGAGCTGGGACAAGCGACGGGCGCTCACTCCGTCGCGTGGATTCGATCTTACGACTGCTTGGTCTTCTGACCCTGCAGCACATGCTTCTGCGGTTTAGCCCGCAGCGCCACCACGTCCCTTGCATTAACTATAAATCTATCTCTTATTACTCCCCTATCTGCCCTGCAACTGAGTCTACCCCAACACCTGCTTCTGGACAGTGTGTTCAGGTCTTCTTCTTGGCTTATATAAGCAAATAATAATGAAAGGAATTGGTACACCCACTGAAATATTAGGCAAAAAAACTTGAACAGACTAGAATAAAGAGCATTATATTTTCTATATCCTGCAACTACAGTTTCTCACCCTTTTTAAAAACCTAATATGGCTTATATAAACTCCAGCTACTTCCATGAAGTTAGATAGTGGAGGCACATGAGTTGGGAAATTTCATACTTTAAAGCTAAATTACGCTTGTCATTCAGGGCCTACTTTAAAAAAAAAAGAAATAAAATACGAAATTTTGCACTAGGCTATGGTTTGCTTTGCCAATATTAACGAGATGCTGTTCACATTCCTTGTCAAATGCCGTATCATGACTGGCATGCAACTAGTAATGCAAGCTGCAACTCGTTAATTGCCAGATGGGATTTATGCTGGGATAAATCCTCAACAGGATTATTTTCATTATCAAGGGTCAGCAATCTGCCATGAAGAAGATAGAGAAGTAGTCCATGTTTATTCTTTCTGCCCTGCTCACTTCAGAAAAGATAGGCAAGAGAGAAAGAGAAAATAACAATCAATCAATCAATCAAATAAGCTTTTTTTAAAAAAGACTGATTAATTTAAAACATGACCTGTAAAAGTTAAAGATCCGCCTCAACATGCCATGGGAAAATACAATCTCTACCAGTTAAAAAGCATCTTGAAAGACTAGTGTAAAAAATTATTTCACTGCCCACCAAAATATAAGGAAAGAGAGAGCCACATAAACCGGGGGGGGCTTCAGTCTTTCATAATTATGTCCCACCAATCATTCTATCAAAGAACCTAAATTCCGCTATGATGGGGTGGCACTTTTTCTGGAAAAGAACATTAATATGTTCATACACATTGTGTATATTTATGATTTACAGTATGCTATAGGGACAGTAAAAATGCAGTGGAATTATTGGAACTAAAACATAAGCAAAGAAAGATAATAATAATAATTGCAGCAACAGTTGAAAATTATAATGAAACCCTGCAAACCCCCCCCCTCCACAACCTCTTTGTTTCATTGGGGGTACGTGTTATCTCTGAGAACCACTGACGCAATAACCTCAGTCACCAATGGAGAGATCTCTAAGATGGAGTTCTGGCTTTAAGAAAGCAATGGATAGAGGAAGGCCATGCGCCAGAAGGGCATTTTTCTCCCTCCCTTTCACAAACCCAGTTCTTTGTTGGAAGTGATGTCTAATTCCCATCTGCCTCAGAGAACAGGCTTTGGATTTTCAGGCAAATCTAGTTGACAAATCATACTTTTCCTCCACTACGGAAGCAGGAATGCTCGTATTCCAGTAGACCAACCAATGCAGTGGGAGGTTGTGTTCTTTGACCAGGTCCATTAAACATTGTGAAAAATAAACACACAACCACAGCAATGGCAAAAAAGAAAAAAAAACCACAGGCGACTGGTTTGCAGCTTTGAGATTTCAGGAGTGCAGGAGTGTAATTCTGAAACATAACCTCTTTTATTAGTGATGTCAGTGAGTCCCCAAAGGCTTCTAACAAAGGAATGTTTCTTGTTCCCAAACAGACTCATTAAAAATACATAGATATATAAAATATACATATACATATATATGTTGTGCTCACCAAAGCGAAAGTAAAAGAGAGGCCGGTTGGCCGCTGTGCTGTGCGGTGCGGTGCGCTCTCTAGCTGCTGCTTCCCGGATGTCACAGACCCCAATGTTGCCAGTGCGGAGCCTCCTCCTCGCGGCCCCTTCACTGTGCTGTAGTCTGCACCGTACTGCGGCAGCTCCATTCGCCGCTGTAACAAGTTGAAAAAAACTAATTAAATCACGTTTTAGTTTTTTTACATTTGTTACAGCCACGGATGGAGCGTCCGCCCCCATGCAGTGAAGCGTGTGCACACGCAAAAAGCCCACGCCCAGGGGCACATACACACACACACATTTACACACGCAGGCACACACATACGCACATACAAACGCTTACAGTACGGAGCCACAGAATCAATTTCCCACTCTGCCAACATTGGTGTTTGTAATGTCAGCAAAGCAGCAGCAAGAGGCCTAGATGCCCAGAGACCTTTGGGTAGCGTGGGCGGCATATAAGTTAAATAAATAATAAATGAATAAAATGCTGGAACAGTGGGGAACTGCCATGTGGGTTACTGTCAGTCTGGTGGCACATTTCCACACAAAAAAGAGGAAAGAGGTCTTACCAAAAGGTAATGTGTGGAATTCTGCCATTTTGCTTTTCAGGTTGAACAAATATTGCTCAATTGCAAAAATAAAGACCAAGGTTTATTAAAGCTTGCCTTTCCCAGCAGATTGTGGTAAATTAAAAGTTTGGTTAAAATAATCTGCAGATGGCGAAAATGGCCACTCTGCTGCCCTTCTTGCACTTTATGATAATTTGTCATCCCCACATAAGGAACCACAACTCTATATTCATACGAATTAATGAATCTCATCATGTGAAAACACCAATTTTGTTTGGAAATTACTGAAGACACATATAGAGAAGAAATCATAGTACAAATACATGAAAGCTCTAAGAAGAAATAGTGACTTCACCATTTAGGAACAGTAACTTTCCAATCTATTTTTTTTGGGGGGGGCACAATAACATAATACAATGAAATATTTATTTATTTATTTAATTTGTGCCCCGCCCATTTAGTCAGCTGACCACTCTGGGCAGCTAACAACATATAAAATAAACCATTTAAAATATAAAACAAATAGTACATCAATAGACAAGGACTCAAGATGAAAGAAGAAAATAAATCAAGAGGCGGCTGGGGGCTGAAGATGAAAGAAGAAAATAAATCAAGAGGCGGCTAGAGGGAAAGCTTGCCGTAATAGCCAGGTTTTCAGTTGGCCTTTGAAAATGCCCAGCGAAGGGGCCATACGAATCTCAGTAGGGAGTCTATTCCAAAGGCTTTCCAAATAGAAAGGCCCCCCCCCCCGTTCTTTTCTCATTTCTCTGAAAAAAAGTTAAGTTTGGTTCCAGGAAAGAAGAAAATAAATCAAGAGGCGGCTAGAGGGAAAGCTTGCCGTAATAGCCAGGTTTTCAGTTGGCCTTTGAAAATGCCCAGCGAAGGGGCCATACGAATCTCAGTAGGGAGTCTATTCCAAAGGCTTTCCAAATAGAAAGGCCCCCCCCCCCGTTCTTTTCTCATTTCTCTGAAAAAAAGTTAAGTTTGGTTCCAGGTGGAACTGGTTAGTCTGTATATACACACCAATTCCAGAAAAGCACTGGAACTCCACAGAATGTGTTAATGAAGGGGCATGACAGCATTAAAAACAAGCAAACAAAAACAAAACAAAAAACTCAAAAAAACAATCACAAGTCATCCAGCCCAGAAGTGAGCCATGTGTGGCCCTCCAGATGTTTCTGGACTGTGACTCCCATAATCCCTCAATGTTGGCTCTGCTGGTTAAAGCTGATGGGACATGTAGATCATAGGGGCACAGTTACCTACCTTAGATCTAGTCCGTCTATAATACAGTGGTGCCTTGACTTAAGAACTTAATCTGTATTGGAATGGTGACTGTAAGTCAAAACATTCTTAAGTCAAAGCAGCATTTCCCATAGGAATGCACTGAAAACCGATTAAGCCGTTCCAGCTGTTTTTTTGTCCTTATGTCAAGGCACGGTTCGTAAGTCAAAGCATTAGTTCCCATAGGAACTAATGCAAAGCCGGTTAATCTGTACTCTACCACTAGGGGGAGAATTTTTATTTTTATTTTTTCTTCTTTTGACCTAAGATGAACTTAGGTTTAAAAAAAAGGGGGGCAGGCGGGTTTTTTTCGTTCGTAAGTCAAGGCATGGTTCGTAACTCAAAGCAATATTTCGCATCTGGAGCTGTTCGTAACTCAAAACGTTCGTATGTCATGGCATTCGTAAGTCAAGGCACCACTGTACTGGCTGCTTAGGTAGTCACTCCAGGTAACCAGGCCAAGATACTTACTGCCCTTTGGTTATCTGACATGGAATGTAACTCCCCCCAACTATGCTTCAATAATGCCCAAACCATTGTTCTAAATAAGGGGGGAAATGACTTTTTCTTCATAAACATCTTCACAAAACACTGGAGCCCTTCGATCTTCTGTAGGCTATCTAGAACACTCTCCTTCTAACAGGAACAAGTTTTAACGGATATGCCAGAAGGAATCTCACTTCAACCCTCTGGTGACAAGGTCTTAGCACTAAGAGAATCCTTTAGCTTGTTTCCAATTTGGACGACACTAATTTTATTTGTTGTCCTTTCAGTCTCATCTTAAATAACTACCCCTGTTACTTTCTTTCCATTAAAAGTGGCTATTTTCTTTTTAAAAAATCTCATCCAAATTCATTTTCTATTCCATTTGCAGTGATAACACACTGGGGACGGGCATGAGTACATGTTTTTACCATGTAATTATACAAGGAGACATAAATTTGTACAGAAAAAAACCTGGACGGTACAGGTACATGCATTGCATTATAGTGATAGTTTTCTTTGTATCCTTGAGCATTTCCTCCCAAAGTTTGACATTAATATTCTGGTCCAATGATCAATACACACAACAGTTCCATGCGTTGTATTGCTTGTACATACCCGGAGGTTGTGGCAAGTAGGCCCCAATTAATTTTGATCTCTTCTTTTCATAGCCCTTCTGTGTGATGTCACCTGCCAAAGAAAGCAAAGAAACAAAAATCAATAAAAGCTTGAACGAAGACACAGTCCAGCTGCTTAAATTGAGGTAGCATATGTTTTGACACTGAGGAACTGTCTGTCTGTCTTGATAATTATAATGAATGAACAACTGAAAGTACATTATGCTCATTCTGCCTGCAAAATTTAATTTACACTGGAGCCATTTTTTCCCCAACTAAGCCCTCCAGTGTAGTTTTATACAGGCTGTAGAAAGAGAGTCCAAGAATCGGAGAGTTGCACTGTCATTTGAATATTCTGTTGTACAAAACGACATCACCCTTCATTAAGTTAATCAACAGTGGATTATATAGAATGCTTTGGCCAGTAATGGCTGGCAAAAGACATTGCCAATTAGCATGTTCTCCACTATTAATGAGGTTCTTTAATCAAGCATGACGGACACACAAAAGATTTGGAACTGTTGATGCACTATTTAAATAACAATATAAACATTTGGATAAGCTTTTAAGCACTACTTCAAGACAAAAATGGAAAGCTTGAAATGCCTTGTACTTCCCAGGATCAAACTCAGAAAGGTACTACTTAGACTTCTCCCAGTAATGAAGGTGGGATTCATTTCCTGAGAGACAAAATGGATCTCACATTTCTTAGTTATTGCGTTAAGCAAAGCATAAAAAATTAAGGCTGGTCCACTGGTTTATTGCTCTTCTTAATGAATCACAAAGTTTAAGCATGATTCACAAAAGTGGAGTTAATTTTACTTTAAGAATAAAATCAGGTAACTACTGGTCAAAGTCACAGAGAGAACGAACTAGATGTCTAGTTGCCAGGTCTGGGTTACAGTTGATGTTGATGTAGCCACCTGTACATTGGCTCTTAAATATTAAAGTTCCAGTGAGTGCACATGACAGGCTTTTCTGTATATTAATTGCTACCGTGTATGAGCAGCTGTTTAATATTTATAGGTAAAGATTCCCCTTGACATTTAGTCCAGTCGTTTCCGACTGTAGGGGGCAGTGCTCGTCCCTATTTCCAAGCCATAGAGCCAGCATTTGTCCGTAGACAGTTTCCATGGTCACATGGCCAGTGGGACTAGACATGGAACGCCGTTACCTTCCCACCGAGGTGGTACCTATTTCTCTACTTGCATTTTTACATGCTTTGAAACTGCTAGCTTGGCAGGAGCTGGGACATTTGATGAGAGCTCACTCCGTTGCATGGATTCGATCTTACGACTGCTGGTCTTCCGACCTTGCAGCACAGAGGCTTCTGCTGTTTAACCCGCAGCGCCACCACGTCCCTAATATTTATACCACAAAAAATCTTACTTCTGCAGGGGTATTCTGGGAATTGTAACCCAAAAAAATTATCTTTTCCAAGCCCTGATCCAAAGTGATAACCAATCACAACACGGAATTTCACGCTGCTACCCTACGAACAATATACATCTATTAAAAATAATCATAAATTGCATTTCTGCCCATTAGGGCTCTCAAAGCTATATGTACAATATACCCCCCTCACTTAGGAAGAAAGTTTGCCTAGATTCAATGGAACTTAATTCTGTTTACCATACCCAAGCTTAGCTTGCATGTCGAGAAAAATTAAAGTATACAAACTAATCCAAGACTTTCAAGAGCAAAATGGTGGACAGCTTTGCAAGGAAAATGGTGAACGATAATTTTATTATTACAATTGCTGCAACAGGCAGTGTTGTTTAGGAACAATTTTGGGCTCAATAAACCTGTACTGTGTTTATCAATGTCGTTTTGCGGCTGGGCAGGGCACAAACTGAAACAGTATACAGTGTGAACTTGCTGAGATACAGTACATTATTTTTTGCTCCATAAGACGCACCTTTCCATAAGACGCACCAATTTTTTAGGAGAAGAAAACAGGAAAATATAATCTGTTTTCTTCGCTCCATAAGACGCACAGACTTTCCACCCCTCTGTTTTGTGGGGAAAAAGTGTGTCTTATGGTGCAAAAAATACAGTATTTCAGTAGTTAAGAATATAGGTAACAAAGCCAAGCAATAAAGCCAAACTGTCTACGCACAAGAAAGAACTACCGGTACTACTACTGTAGTACTAGTTAGAACTGAAAGTAGCTAAAAATTTAAACCAAAGCCTCCCAGAAGAACGAAGCAGCAGTTGTATTGCCCTTCTTAGTTCAGACATTAGGTAAAAGGTAAAGGTTCCCCTTGACATTTAGTTCAGTCGTGTCCGACTCTAGGGCATGGTGCTCATCCCCGTCTCCAAGCCGTAGAGCTAGCATTTGTCCGTAGACAGTTTCTGTGGTCATGTAGTTAAGACATTACCTTCACAGATATGTTCATTCAAGACATTCTTAATTTAGGTTTCAACAAGAATACACAAGAGGCGGGTCCTGATACTCATTAACATTGCGGCACACATGATACAGCATTGCAAGATAGATGCTCTGCACTCACCCTCCCCTTTATTATGAAAGTACAGATAGGTCTATCCAATATAGATTTGTAGTAGTTCTTTTTGAAATATGCATTTATTCAATGACATGCATTCATGAATAAGAAGCACACATTCTGCATTCATTCTATAAAGCCATTAAGGAAAACATCAACTGGCCAAAGCATATGCTCTACTTTTTTCCTTAGCAGAACGGCATTCCTAAAATACACTGAAATAGAATTCAATGAAGAGATGACAAGGAAATAAGACTCATCGGTGACAGTAAGGATCCACACTTCAGCTTCTCATCAACTATAATGTAGGAGAAACAGGGAAGAATATCATCCATATCCCGGCAATGAGCCTTGAACAAGGAACAACAAATGAACAGTATCTTTCAGTGGATGGACAGTCTGGCTTGTGTTTAAAGAAAGGCACTATGAGAAACAATCTCTAGAGACCAGCAATCCTTATGCTATACAGTACACTATGCGTAATGCAGGTGAACAACTGTAGTAATGTGGTTTCTCAGCCTTTTGCCTGCAAGATGTTTTTCCTCTGCAGTGCCAAGTAGCCCATTGGCAAAAGTGAGGGTCTGGGAGCTGAAGTCCAGAATATTTGGAGGGCCAAAGTTTAAGGGCTACTGAAATTATGGAATGTCTTCTCCAATATATAACACATGGTCAACCTAGCAGTGACACAATGCATTTAATATCATTAATAAAGCAGTGCCATAGCCAAGTGATATTGCTTGGAAAATGGAAGATCCCAGGTTCAAGTTCAAAATTCGCCATTTAGAAAAGGATGAAAAACATGCATTCTGCGGGAGAGTGTATCTAGTCTCTCCACAGTAACTCAATGACTTGTATAATGCAGCCTTTGGACCCAAAGTGATTCCGACTCATAATGCCAAAGGAGGTTTCCTCTAGAGAATGAAACAGCAATGTGGAAATCAAAAATAAAGTGTGTGCAGATAGAAAGAAGCCACCAGTTTCTGTTGGATCTGAAAGCAAGGGTTTCAGTGAAGATCTGCATTCTTACAGACAGGAAAATAATAAAACCAACCCAACAGTTCATAAAAAACTGTATCTCAAACTGTGGACGTTACTGGTCTCCCTTCTTGTCCCAAACCCCGTTTTCTCCTCCAAACATTCATTTTGCTTTGCAGCTTGTTCGCCGCTGATGACTCAAATTCTCTGTCAGCATCTTGGCAAGCGGGAGCCGAATGAAACAAAGCTCCTCATAAAGGAGCACGATGACTCACTGCTTTCTCCCACTGATGATGCAGACAGTAACTCTCTGTCTGCCCTTCTGAAAATATACAAGGAGACGAGGTTTTGCAGTTTAGAGAGGAAGAAAGCTGCCGGAGTATTGGGGGTGTGTGTGTGGAATAAAGAAGAAAATGAAACAAGAGATGCATGGATGGTGCTGACCTACAGGCAAACAGCCGAACCACTGAGCTTTCCACACACTTAAGGAGATGCAGGATTAGTAAAAGAGATCCTCCCAAGTACTTGGGAACCAATTATTGACAATGGGTCGGTTTTAAAAGCAGTTTTAGATGTTTTTAGGGTGGGGATGAGGTGAAAATCCTTCTAAATTCACACCGGGTATACATAAAGTCGTGGGAGAGCCCAAATTGGCACTCTGAATCCCCAGCCTTAGGACTGAGAATGTGTAATCTAACAACACAGCTCTCTTTTTCCACCCTTATCTAGCATTGTTTCAGTTTAGCAAAACTAATCCCATCTGTATTTACAAGGGAAATATGGAACTGAGCAGTTCAGAGGAATTAATAGGATTTGCGCTGTAGCACTGCAGACAATGTCATAGATCACAACTCTCAGCTTCTTTGAAGGAGAATTGCTGCAGTTTCTTTTTGCCCTCATCAGCTAACTGGTGTGAATTCTGCTCTCCAAGAACATAGGAGATTCTTGTCTTTTATAGGCTGACAGAGAACAGCTACATTTCAACAGTACACAAATGGCTGCGATTTAAGTCTTTTTCTATCTCTCTGTCATGTTGCCAGAGCATGAAATCATAGCAAAATGGACAACGTTCTGAATTGAGCAATATTCTTATTGGATCACTGAAAAGTTACCAACAAGGTAATTTTTCAAGTTCTCTCGAATGCCTTATCAGACAAACATGCCATTACATTTGTGGTTAAAGGAAGTAGCCCTAACTGGGCCAGATTTGATCCCTACTGCTCACAGAATCAGGCTGACAGAAAAATGGACAACAAGCTTTTACCGTCTATTAACATTCCTTCCAAATAAAAACCAAGCAACATTCCGGCACATGTTTACACTTTTTAATGTCACGCCTGATCACAATATTCTCAGTTCACACCTACCACATTCTTTTGAATTAAAATAAATTCACAGGGCAACCCACTGTGTGACATCATGTTCCAGTCACATAATTTATTTCAAGGAACAAAACCAAAAGTACAGGCCCAGGTTTTGGGTTGAGTTAGTTTATGCATATTTTTCAGTTTCCGTCACCCTGACCCCAGCTCCCTAAACACATTTCGAAATCCTTGTTTTCCCCCACCACCACTTACCTTAAAGCCTCCATCACTTCAAAAAATCTAGGGCACCTCAAACAGTGCCACTGCTCACAAACATTACTGAACTGAAGCCTACCAAACCATCCAATTTTGTAGTATTTTGGCAACCAGATGGTGAGACTACATTGTCAAAGCCATGGCTACAGATGCATTGCT